CCTTCCTTCCCCCGGCTGCCGGCACCGGCTTCCCTCTGGCACCTGGGACCTGGGACCCGGGACCCAGGCTTCCCTTTGGCCACCAGCAGGCACCTGGGACCCAGGCTCCCCTCGCAGTCCCGGCTTCATCCGGAAGGATGTCAGGTCTAATTAGCATATTACACTTTTATTATTATAGATTACATGTCTGAGATAAATTTTCTCAAAATTAAACAATCAGGCTTCCGTCCTCTTGTCTTAATAAACAAGGGCAAATGCTACTGTATCTTAAGTTCCTTACATTCCAACATCCAATTACATTGCAAATATTAATTTGCCCTCAAAATAAAAGTATAAATTACCTTAATAAAAATTGAGGTCAGGAAAACTATGAGTTTGGCCCATTCCTCTCTCTAAAATCAATAAAAACATATCCTCGGGTGAGGATTTAAAAAAAGATTTGTTTTTTAAAATAAACTAAAATATGACAAGAAATACTTCTCCTTTTTTTCCCCCTCACCCAAGGATATGCTTCTTATGGATTTAGAGAGAAGGGGGAGAGAGAAAGAGAGAGAAGAAGAGAAAGAGAGAGAGAGAGAGAGAGAGAGAGAGAGAGAGAGAGAGGAAGAAAGAAATATCAATGTGAGAAACCGATCAGTTGCCTCCCAAATTGCCCTGACCAGGAACCGAACCCCCAACCCAGGTATGTGCCCTGACCAGGGATCGAACCCACCACCTTTTTTTTTTTTAAATATAGTTTATTGATTTTTTTACAGAGAGGAAGGGAGAAGGATAGAAAGTTAGAAACATCGATGAGAGAGAAACATTGATCAATTGCCTCCTGCACACTCCCCACTGGGGATGTGCCCGCAACGAAGGTATATGCCCTTGACCGGAATTGAACCTGGGACCCTTGAGTCCACAGGCCAATGCTCTATCCACTGAGCCAAACCGGTTAGGGCCCCACCACCTTTTGGTGTACAGGTGGATGGATGTTCCAACCAACTGAGCCACACCAGCCAGGGCTCCATTTTTTAATATAATGCTTTGTCCTAGATTTTTTTAAAAAGTTTATAAATTGGGGTGAGAGGACCCAGAAGAGATATCCAGTTTTCCTAGATGTGTCTAGGAATCATTCACCCTGTTCATGAGGCAACAGATCAAGTCCCTTTTCTTCCCCTTTCTCACTTCACAAACTATCCTTCTCCATCTTCTTCATTATTTCACTTTTTGCTTAAAATTACTTCCTGTGAATTGTTTTCTCTCTCCCCTTTGTAGAATCAGACCTTTGAAATATGCACATGGAAAACACAAGACACTGAGTTTTAATTTACACAAGTACATAGTAAAGTACTCAGAATAGCACAATCAAATGTGACCATGTAGGAAACGAAAAGGATATTAATTTTTCTGAGTTGAGATGACAAAGTAGCTTCCCCAGAGGCGGATAGCGGTTTAGTGAGGACACACATCCCAGGAGAATCAGCTTATGTTTGGCTCTGGTTATAGCAACATTAAGACGTCGCCAATCTTTCAAGAGTTCACCGAGCTGAAAGAAACAGAATTTCTCATTATTTGAGCTTTCTTATATATTTGAGTTTGTTCTGGCAAGGAACACAATTTGTCTTGAACTATTTTATTACTTTTAATCAAGAGGAGGTAAAAATGTAAAACAATAAAACAAAAACGGGAATTATCTATAAATCTGAAAGTATGTCTAAGGAAGCC